TTTTTTTCCCCCTCTGGTGCTAGTCTACAGCTTGAATTATGTGAAATCCAGAAAGTTCGTTCTCCTGGTTTTACCTTTGCAGGGTTATCTAGACTGTGGTCTGTCGTGAGACCGTCGGGGTGCGTGGTACATTTTACTCATCGCCCTCAGCATACGGACCAGTGAGGAGTGGGGGGATGCAGGGAGGATGAGCTGCCACTTCTTTCCCTCTCCAAAACTCAAGGCAGTGTAGTGGGGCAGGGAGCAGGGCTGGACAAATTGTGGGTTTTGAACTCTCTGCATTCCTGTGGCAATTCAAGTGCAGCTGCCGGGTCAATGCTGTGCCATGCGGTTATTGTTTGGGGAGCTGGGCAACCCGCGTCGCTGGCTGGGGGAAGAAATGACCCAGCAGATGCTGCAGGGTTCAGGCTGGCAGAGCGAGTTGCTTTGGGATGCTGCATCGTGCCCACCCTTGTTCCACAGTGGGACCCTTCAGCCACCTCCTGTGACCTCCTCCCTGCGCCTCCCCCGGCTCACCGCTCTCATACCACGTGTGAGATCCAGCACGTGTACTCGTCTGTCTCATGCTGCTTGGCTACATGAAGATACTGGTCAGTGGTTTGTAAGCTCAGAGATTTTGGGCAGTTCTACTGCAAGGCCTTGGCAAAGGGGGAAACAAAGAAGAAAGCCTGGCTTGAAGGTGCCATGTAGTGCTGTCTTAAAGTATAGCTTCGTGAATCCCCAGGCCCAGGTTGAAAGGAATCTGTCGATCCCTCAGTCAGTGGGCTGCCAGATGTCCCATGTCTTAAATAACTTCCCCTAATAGAGGCTTGGGTCGTGTTTCCCATATGGAAAGCATTCAGTACATGGGTTTTTCTCTCTTTCCATGGAGACCTGCCATTTTTTCTGAGTGCCTACGGCACAGATGCGGCAGTTCATGTGAATGCCAGCTAAACCACGCAGCTCTTCAGTCTGGTGGCTGGGGACCAAAGACTCACGCGTGCCCAATGCATAGTCACTTTATACCTGTTTGACGAGGACTGTGACAGAGCTTGCTCCTTCAGACCTGGTCCGTTTTGCATTATGGAGTGCCAGGCACATCTATGCTGAGGGTCTCATAAATGCCCTCAGCTGGTGCGGTCTGCCCCCCGACGCGCTTCTCAAGGCTGTGTGTAGGGGCTCCTAACAAGGACCTTCTTTCAGGCTGCCTGGAGCTCAGGATGCAAGGCTCTTTTGGGTGAAAGAGACTTCTCTCTTGGAGGTCAATCGCATTTTTCCTCTTGAGCTCTTTGCTGCTGGAAGCGCTTCATCTGCCTGCTTTTCACAGCAGCAGTGCTGCTGATTTGATTCTGAGTGGACAGAGCTAGATCTGAGGTGCCGGCATAATCTGTTTCTCTCGTGGCATGCCCAGCATATTAAAATTAAGCAATGCCTGACTTATATTTGCACTTAAATTAGACCGTAATAGCACTGTTCTTATGGGACCCTAATAAGAACTGGAGAATGACACTAAATCAATGGACTTCTTGTTAAAAGAACTAAACTAAAACTCAGATGCTAAGCTGAATGGACTTTGTTCAAAGCTGTTAAAACAGATTTTCCATGAAATAATGTTGTCAAGAAAGAGTTTTATCTTCAGGTTTTTAAAAGTATCTCTTACATGAATAAATGGAGAAGTAAAATAGAAAGCCATTGTTTGTTAAAAAAAAAGATGAAGGAGGAGAAAAAAAAAAAGCGCATGTTATCAGAGATCCCATGCGGTGCGAGAATAGCATGTGGTTTTCTTTTTAGTTTGGTCAACCGTATTGAGTATTCTTATTCCATTCTCTTCCAACACAATGCATTTCTCACTTTATGTTTGATTTGAATTACTCTTCTAGCTGTAAGATCCGTGCATGCTGAGATCTCTTCTGCAAAACACCCAGGATCCTGGCTCAATTTCCTTTCCATTGATATTAATTCTTTCAGTATCCATCTCTTACAGGACAGCCTAAATAAGGCAGAATCTCTTCAGTCATAAAGACATGACACCAGAAGCTATGCCCAAAAACCCTTCTCAGAGGGACAAGGATAAATCCTCATCATTCCAGATGAGTTAATGAGGACTCTGCATGCAATCAGTCAGACTGCTCATTACAAGTCTCCATCACTGTGATTTCTTCTTTCCCTCTCTCTCTGAATTTTAGATGTACCTTTAGATTCCCCCTTAATCATTTGCTTCAAAGGGTACTGGCCTACCTTTGGCTGATTGCTTTTTCAAAACAAGCTTCCTGTCTTTGTGTAATAAGTGGGTTTTTGCCTCTTTTCAGTGATGGTTGGGCGGACAGAGATGAAGTCATTGAAGGTTACGAACCTGAAGCAAATGGAGGCATCACTATCAAACTGCAGTCTCCAGAGGTCTTGTCGTTTGATGACTACTACCTGAAGCTGCGTCTGGACACCAACACCCGCAACCCCTGGTTCCCTGAGTTCTGGCAGCATAGGTTTCAGTGCCGCATCCCGGGACACCCGCTAGAGAATCCCAACTTCCAGAAGAACTGCACTGGTAACCTGTTAACTATTTTCCTGTTTGAATCTATGCTCTGGCAAAAATTTGTCTTTGGGTGGATGGGGTTTTTTTGTTTGTTTTTTAAACGTATAAATCACAGGTGAAAAGTGCCAACCCCAAACTGTACAGGTATAAATCCCAACTCTGACGGGAGCGTGTCTGGCACCGGTTGCACAGCCTCCTCACAATTTAGTTCTGCTCTGTTATGTAGTGACTTGTTCCCTTTTCATGTTTTAGGGCTATGCTGAGGCTGACAAGGGTGTTCAAGTTTGTAATATGGCTTGTAAAAAATAAGTAACCATTAAATTTTAACAAAATAGGACACATTTAAAAATTTTTTTTTCTCAAAGTCAGCTTTTCTGATCTGCTGAATTATTAGCATGCGTTGGATCTATCTCTGGGTCCCGATCTGTTCTGTATTCCAGAAGTGCACTGGTAGTCCTTACTGAGAACAAAGCACAGCCATACTTTTGCACAGACAGAAGTTGATTCAAAGACGGTAGTCTACTCAAGTTCATCTTCGATGTCTGGAAGTTAACATCTTGGGAAACTATCTAATGAAAAAGAAAACCAAGGACAAAAACACTTGTGATATTTAGGGGAGCATAGTGTATTAGTACTTACCCAGTGGTGAGTTGCCTAGGAACAGCCAGAATCAAACAAAGAAAAGGCAGTGTTGTTCTCCAACTACATTATTAAAAAGATTCAGAATACTTGGTCCTATCTGTTTGTAAAAGGAGATGAATTACAAAGTTTGTATTTGAGAATCTTCAGTTACTGCCAGCCCAGTATAATTTACTCATATACAACCTAATCACTTTTCTGAGTTAGTTATTCAGAATTGCCACTGGAATGTGAAATTCAATTTTTAGCATTCATGGAGAGGCAAGGACTTCTCCTCAAGCAATTACAGCTGCTGCATTTGCAATTTCTCACACCCTGTTACTGTTGAGTCAGCACTAGCTTGGGATTGCAGGCTCTCTACGAAGCAAGGGAAAGCCAGTTCCTAGAAATCCCCCTTCTCTGATGACAGGAATTACTGCTTGAATTCCCTCATTCAGTCCCTGAGAAGATTGATGTTGTCCTTCAGGAGTTCTCATGTTACACTGAGCTCTGAACATACATGCGTATTTTTGGGGAAAAAAGTCTATCTGGTCTAAGCACTGTAGGAAGGAAGCAAGTCCAAGTGAGGTCTGCTCTGTGAAGTCTGTGGGATGCCTAACAACTAGCCACATTTTCAGAATAGCTTATCTGGATGTACTGGGACTGCATGGTAGTAGCACAAATTCTTGGGAAGAGAAGACAATCATCGAGAGTTTTGCAGTGACTGCTCTTTTGGATTATCCCTTCTTGCAAAAATTAAACAACTTACTTTTCCCACTTGGGCAGCAGCCAAATGAGTGGGAGCTATTTTTGACTCATTCTTTGCTCATGTTGTAGCCAAATGCCTCTCATAAGGGAATGCCTCTCTCCCTAGCGCTCTCTCCCCCCTTTCCCTCTTTCTCTCTCTGCTATAGGAGATATTCTTCCTCAACACAATAGGATTCAAGTTGAGACATTTTTTTATGTGTAGATGTATTGGATCTGGCTGGAATGGAGTTGCCTTTCTCCATAGCAGCCCTCATAGTGCTGTGCTGTGTATTGGTAGCTAGAAAGGTGTTGATGACACCCCAGGGTTCTGGCCAGTGCTGGCACAGCGCTGAGGCTCTCTCCACCCCCCCATGCCCCCTCGAAGGCCATTAGACTGGGGGTGGGCAAGAGGTTGGGAGGGGACGTAGCCAGGACAGCTGACCCAAACTGACCAAATTTCCATGCCATATGATGTCGTGCTCAGCAATAAAAGCTAAGAGAAAGGAGGGGAGGGCGTTCATTATTAAGGCATTTTTCTTCCAAAGCAACCGCTACATACCGAGGCCCTACTTCCCAGGCAGTGGCTGGGCATTGCCTGCTGATGGAAGTGGAGAATAGATCTTTTTGTTCTCCTTTGCTTCCATGTATGGCCTTTGTTTTTCTTTATTAAACTGCCTTTACCTTGACCCATGAGTTTTTATTTTCTCTCCCCTGTCCTGCTGGGGAAGGAGAGTGAGAGTGAGTGGCTTGGTAGGCACCTACCAGCCAGACAAGGTCAACCCACCACAGTAGAAAAGGGATATTTGTATATGACCGTTCTCCTGTAGTTCTCTTGATATCTAGCAGGCCAAAACCACTTCCAGTATGGAGTTCTTAAACTGTCCCTGCCACTGAGGTACTTTCAATGTTTTTCCTGTAGTAGCTGCATTCTTCAGGAAACAAATCATGTCCTACAACTCTGCATGGACCCCTGACTCATCGTGAGGTTCAGAACTGCACACCATTCTTCATGCCCTTCAGACAAAAAGTCAGAGTAGAGCAGACCACTTTAACAGAAAAAAAGCTGTTTCTGAGTTTGAAGTACTAAGAAGCTACCTAACTCAGGAGACAGACCTGACACTAAGTTCCCTTAGCACACAACCTCAGGCACTGCCCCAAGCAACAGTCGCAACTTGTTTCAGTTCATCAGACAGCTCAGCCTTTTTCCACATTTTGGAGTCTGTACAGAGGTTGTACGCTGACAGCGAGATTAGGAGACAGACTGTGTATGTTCGGCAACAGAGTGCAGGTACTCTTCCAACGGTTCTGTAGGATTTCCATTTTCTTCTCCCGAATCTGATAGAAATATCTCAAATGGAAGTGTTTTTCTCCCCACAAAACTACAGCGACAAATATTTCTCTCTTGGACTTGGTGGGCCCACATAGGCCAGGATTAAATACAAGCCACACTTACATAGAAATGGTGTAGAACTCAGTGCAGTGCAAACACTTGTACAGAGGTCTAACTGCTCTTTTATGGAATGGCTTATTCACCTCCTGGCAGATAATACGATGGCTGTAGTTTATGTAAACCAGGTGGGATGACTACTCCTCTGCACCACAAGAGACAGTTGTGAAATTGGTTATGGAACTGATGCAAACATCAGATTACGCTCACAGCAGTTTATCTGCTGGGACAACAAAATGCATTGGCAGGCAATCAGCACATTTTTCAACAGAGCGAAGTGGAACAAAGTGGGCAATTCATGATTCATTCATCAATTCAATTGATCTTTGAGGAGAAGGATTATTTGTCACTGAACGTATTTGTGGCAGACAAGAACAAGAAATGTAGATTTTTTTTGTTCTTGTTCCAAAGAAGGTCACAGTCCAAGTTCCCTGTAGATGCTTACTCATACCTTGGTCATGCCATAAGGATTGCTTTATCTGCTAATTCCTGTCTCAGTCCAAGAGAACTACAAACAATCATCTGAGTGAAGCCAGAGTCACAGAATCACAGAATCACTCAGTCTGGAAGGTAGCTCAGGAAGACTGTAGTCCAACCCCCTGCTCAAAGCAGGGTAAGCTATGAGTTTGGACCAGGTTGCTCAGGGCTTTATTCACTGGAGCCTTGAAAATCTCCAAGGATAAACACGGCACAGCATCTCTGGGCAACCTGTTCCACTGCTTGAATATGAAAAAGGTCACCTCATATCCAGTCTGAACCTCTCTTGTTTCAAGTTAAGCCCATCGTCTCTTATCCTCCCACCATGCTTCACCATGAAGAACCTGTCTCTCTTCTCAATAACTACCCTATAGGTATGAGGGGCTGTTGTAAGGTTCCCCTGCAGCCATCTCTTCTCCAGGCTGAACAAGCCCAAATCCTTAGCCTGTCCTTAAAGGGCAAGGACTGCAGCTCCAGATTATCTTGATGGGCCTCTTCTGAATGTGTTCCAGGCTATCAGTGTCTTTCTGTATTGGGGGTTCACAAACTGTGTGCAGTATTCTAGATGCAGCCTGAGGAGTGCAAAGTGAAGGGTGGTGGTAGTGGGGAGGTAATCACGTGCCGCGGTCACTGGCTGTGCTATCAGTACAACCCAGGATGCTGCTTGCCTTTGTTCCTGCCAAGGATCTGTACAGCCACCATATTCTTGTGTCAAATTTGGTCCCAAGAAGTTGTATCTTTTCCCATCTTCTTTCTGCATCGGCAGACTTGTTCACAAAGAGGACATAAGCTTTCATCACACCTAAGTAGTTCTGGATGTCCACCGTAAATCTTCATAGCATGTCAAATCATGGGCAGAACATAATAATGACAGCAGAAAAAAGCTTGAGAGGAAGACTAAATATTCCAGAAAAGGCATTTATGCTTTGGTATGAATAATGCAGAGTCATACCTCTTGAGAGAAAAATTGCAGGGAATATAGATTATTTTGTCACTGTAAAGACCTTGAATCATAAATTTTGCTTGGTATAGCCATAATCTGAAAGAGATGTGGAGCATGGTGCAGAGCTGTTTTAGATGTCAGAGACCCACACAGCAACACATAAAAAGAGCGGTGCAGTGTTGCATGAACATTATACCCAAGCTACGAAATCCAACCATTTCAACAAGTGCTTCTGGAGCCAGCTTGACTTGTTTGCCTATAGTTAAGATTTCTCTCAAAAGCATCCCTAAGTGTTTGCCACCATTATCACCCACTCGTTATCTCATCCAGACACAGACAGAGTCCTTATAGTTTTAGTGAGGTTGGTCTTTTTTTTTCTGACATAGGATAATAACATCTTTTTAGAAGATCTACAGAGCCTCTACTCACGCCTGGCGTGATGTTTATTTTGTCCATGAAGTTCTCCTGGATTGCACTTACTGCACCAGATAGGAAGATAGGAGACTGATAGCTGACCTATTCCCGTCCTCAGACAGTTTTGTACTTGGCTAATGCATCTTTCAGGCTACATCTAGTCCACTAGTAATGTAGCTCAGAGCTTCTCTTAATCAAGGATTTTTTCTCAAGACCAGTCATACTTTTGATAAATTTATATAAGATAACATGGGGCCCTCATTTTCTCATATCAGTGGACAAAGCACTCCAGGGCGTGTACTTGGTTTTTTCTGCGCTTTACTGAAAGGGTGAATGCGTTTCCAGTGACAGCTGATCTGAGTGGTT